CTGCCAGCTAACAAAACAATACCTTTCCTTCCGGTGCTAAAATGCGCACACAAAGTCCACTGGCTGGATATCATGTGACTGCTACACGATGAGGCTCACATTTTCGGCGGCCGGCCAGGGCCTATCCACAGACCCTCGATGGGTCAGCAAAACTAGCTGAAGAACATTGATATAAATCACACAGGCTGAAACATCCGGCCCGCAACAAACTGCCAGACCAGATAGCACGTAACTGAGACACGTGACCGAGACGCCATTTTGCAAAATTTGTAGTTTTTCTTTCAAGGGAAACATACGTCCAACACCTGTTTGCTCTGTTACTTCAAATATATTTATTCGGCTTGAACTGATTAAATTCACACTTTTACTGTTTCTGACGCATCATCCATAATAAGTGACGTATGCACACTGGGTTATTGAAATTGTGCTGTGGAACATTTAAAAACGCCGCACTCTGATGCTGAAGACCACGGTTCAAATCATCAGTATAGCTATGGGTTTTATTCTGTCGGCGGCAAAAACTGAATCCTAACCTGCACAGTGCGCGGCGGCAATACAAGCCAATGCGGCTCTACATTCTCAGGCTGGAAGTTTGTAATTTTACGACGAAATCCGAAATTTTTAACACACGCCTTTCTTTGTTTTACTCTTTCTTTTTGTAGATGTAGCAGTAGCAGTAATAGTAGTAGTAGTAGTAGTAGTAGTAGTAACAGTAGTAGTAGCAGTAGTAGTAGTAGTAGTAGTAGTAGTAGTAGTAGTAACCGTAGCAGTAGTAGTAGCAGTAGTAGTAGTAGCGGTCTTAGTTGTATTGTTAGTAATAATAGTCGTAGAAGTAGTAGTAACAGTGGCAGTAGTAGTTGTTGTTGTTGTAGCAGCAGCAATAGCAGTAGTGGTCGCAGCAGCCACAGAGGTGGTATATCGTCTTTGATATGTTAATGTTAATTTTTTTTTCAAATATCAATAGCATCACGTGAGATTGTCTGCCAATCCGATCCGCTGCTGCCCCCTTCCCCCACCCTTTCCACCCCCCCCCCCCTTTCCACCCCCCCCCCCCCCCCCCCCCCCCCGGTAAATGCCTATCTTGGAAAACTGGTTATCGTTCATCTCTGGATGTTGTCCTCCCACTTGTACCGTTGTTTGCCGCCTGTTCTGTTATCTCAGACATTTCCTTTCACTTTGGATTTTTTAAAGAAAATATCTAACATACAAGTGCAAACCTACAGTGAAGACAGAAATATTAGAATAGAAAACATGCCAACAATGGTAGAGCACAGAAATAGAAGAGGTCGGATATAGACAGAGATATACGAACAGAAAGATGCCCTCACAGCTGGAGGGATAGACTCAACTTGACATACAAGCCAGCAGGCACAGGCAGACATACAAGCCAGCAGGCACAGACAGACATATAAGCCAGCAGGCACAGGCAGACATACAAGCCAGCAGGCACAGACAGACATACAAGCCAGCAGGCACAGACAGACATATAAGCCAGCAGGCACAGACAGACATATAAGCCAGCAGGTACAGACAGACATACAAGCCAGCAGGCACAGACAGACTTGTAAAAATAGACAGGTGAAACTAGATATAAATATTTTTTTAAATAAGACAAATGTCTGGAAGTAAATAAAGAATTAACTAACTACAGACATCAAACAATGCAGGGAAAATGAGGTGAACATTTACATAGGATTAAATTATGAAATACAAACACTGAGGGTAGGGCAGAGAATAGAGGGCGGTAGTGGAGGGGAGGGGAGAGAAAGAAGAGAGAGAAAGAGTGCAGCTAGAGAGAGAGAGAGAGAGAGAGGAGTGCAGCTATAGAGAGAGAGAGGAGCAAGAGAGGGAGTGGAGCTATAGAGAGAGAGGAGCGAGAGAGGAAGTGGAGCTATAGAGAGAGAGGAGCGAGAGAGGGAGTGGAGCTATAGAGAGAGAGAGAGGAGCGAGAGAGGGAGTGGAGCTATAGAGAGAGAGAGAGAGAGGAGCGAGAGAGGGAGTGGAGCTATAGAGAGAGAGAGAGAGAGAGGAGCGAGAGAAGTAGTGGAGCTATAGAGAGAGAGAGAGAGAGGAGCGAGAGAGAGAGGGAGTGGAGCTATAGAGAGAGAGAGAGGAGCGAGAGAAGTAGTGGAGCTATATAGAGAGAGAGAGAGGAGCGAGAGAGGGAGTGGAGCTATAGAGAGAGAGAGAGAGGAGCGAGAGAGGGAGTGGAGCTATAGAGAGAGAGAGGAGCGAGAGAGGGAGTGGAGCTATAGAGAGAGAGAGAGAGAGGAGAGAGAGAAGTAGTGGAGCTATAGAGAGAGAGAGAGAGAGGAGAGAGAGAAGTAGTGGAGCTATAGAGAGAGAGAGAGAGGAGCGAGAGAGGGAGTGGAGCTATAGAGAGAGAGAGAGAGAGAGAGGAGAGAGAGAAGTAGTGGAGCTATATAGAGAGAGAGAGAGAGAGAGGAGCGAGAGAGGGAGTGGAGCTATAGAGAGAGAGAGAGAGAGAGAGCGAGAGAAGTAGTGGAGCTATAGAGAGAGAGAGAGAGGAGCGAGAGAAGTAGTGGAGCTATAGAGAGAGAGAGAGAGAGGAGCGAGAGAGGGAGTGGAGCTATAGAGAGAGAGAGGAGCGAGAGAGGGAGTGGAGCTATAGAGAGAGAGAGAGAGGAGCGAGAGAAGTAGTGGAGCTATAGAGAGAGAGAGGAGCGAGAGAAGTAGTGGAGCTATAGAGAGAGAGAGAGGAGCGAGAGAGAGGAGCCGAGGAAGTAGGAGCTATAGAGAGAGAGAGAGAGAGAAGGAGTGGAGCTATAGAGAGAGAGAGAGAGAGGAGCGAGAGAAGTAGTGGAGCTATAGAGAGAGAGAGAGAGAGGAGCGAGAGAAGTAGTGGAGCTATAGAGAGAGAGAGAGAGGAGCGAGAGAAGTAGTGGAGCTATAGAGAGAGAGAGAGAGGAGCGAGAGAAGTAGTGGAGCTATAGAGAGAGAGAGAGGAGCGAGAGAAGGAGTGCAGCTAGAGAGAGAGAGGAGCGAGAGAGAGAGGGGGTGGAGCTAGAGAGAGAGAGAGAGGATCGAGAGAGCGGAAGAAAGGGGAATGAAATAGAAAGAAGCACAGACCAATCTACAAACGCCAGTGGTATATGTCTGTCACAAAAACAAAACTCCCAAAAAACTATTGGACGCCACTGGGAAGTACAGGACATATGGTGCTAGCGTCCTATTTATATAGACCAAATGGCACTCTGTGTAATATAGTTAATACCTCATCTGTCGCCTTTATTTCTCCAGAACCTTTTTAGAAAGCCTTTTTGAAAGCTTGGGTCAACGTATGAAGAAATCGCTGTGTTTCGTGGATGTGTGGGGTGAGGTTCACAGTGGCCAGGGGGTCAAACCGTTTGTCTCGCGCTCTGAAGGTCATGGGTTTGTGTCAAACGGTTCACATGTGAAACTTATAGTGATCGTCGCCGGAGCTATGAGGTTCTAGACAGACAGCTAGCTGTTCTGCAGAAAGAGAGAGAGAGAGAGAGAGAGAGAGAGAGAGAGAGAGAGAGAGAGAGACAGACAGACAGACAGACAGACATTTAGACAGACAGACAGACAGACAGACAGACAGACAGACAGACAGACAGACAGACAGACAGACAGACAGACAGACAGACAGACAGACAGACAGACAGAGTTAGCTATGTGGGATACAACATTGCGCATTGTCGATCCTGTCAGCTTTGACCTTTAACCTTTCCTCAAGGACGTGACCTCAAGACCAGGAGGTGAAGGCCCGAGCTGGTGTTTGTCTCTGCTCTTGAGAGACATCTACTGCCGACTTGAGAGACATCTACTGCCGACTTGAGAGACATCTACTGCCGACTTGAGAGACATCTACTGCCGACTTGAGAGACATCTACTGCCGACTTGAGAGACATCTACTGCCGACTTGAGAGACATCTACTGCCGACTTGAGAGACATCTACTGCCGACTTGAGAGACATCTACTGCCGACTTGAGAGACATCTACTGCCGACTTGAGAGACATCTACTGCCGACTTGAGAGACATCTACTGCCGACTTGAGAGACATCTACTGCCGACTTGAGAGACATCTACTGCCGACTTGAGAGACATCTACTGCCGACTTGAGAGACATCTACTGCCGACTTGAGAGACATCTACTGCCGACTTGAGAGACATCTACTGCCGAATGGAAATGTACCAATAAACAACGAGACTACCAAAGAGACGGTCACTGCTTCTTGCAACATTACAAAATATTGAATACATAGAAGGAAAACAGGAGAGGAAACCAGACTGATGCGCGTTCACCGGCTGTAAAATACAGTGGAAAGTTCTGGTTGTTTCTGGTTGTTATGTGTACATCCGTTTTACACATCTGTCTTATTTGTAGCAGACTGCTGGTTCCTCACCTTTCATGCAGATGCACTCTGACTTTAAAGGAAGCCCTTCAATTAGTCGACGCTTACGACATGCTTGTTAAGGCGGCAGTGGACCTGTTCTTGTTTTTCCCACACAACAGGGACACGAAAGATGGAAGTGAACTCTTGTTTTTCCCACACAACAGGGACACGAAAGATGGAAGTGAACTCTTGTTTTTCCCACACAACAGGGACACGAAAGATGGAAGTGAACTCTTGTTTTTCTCACACAACAGGGACACGGAAGATGGAAGTGAACTCTTGTTTTTCCCACACAACAGGGACACGAAAGATGGAAGTGAACTCTTGTTTTTCCCACACAACAGGGACACGAAAGATGGAAGTGAACTCTTCTTTTTCCCACACAACAGGGACACGAAAGATGGAAGTGAACTCTTGTTTTTCCCACACAACAGGGACACGAAAGATGGAAGTGAACTCTTGTTTTTCCCACACAACAGGGACACGAAAGATGGAAGTGAACTCTTCTTTTTCCCACACAACAGGGACACGAAAGATGGAAGTGAACTCTTGTTTTTCCCACACAGCAGAGACACGGAAGATGGAAGTGAACCGATAAGAGAGCAGACAAGATAGAATGAAAGTGCAACAATAGGAGATGAGAATGCACAGGTGAACAAAAGTTTCCCCTGAAACTAGTTTAGTTCTCAAAAACCTACCCACTTACCCACTTACGTCTGGTATTGTTAAATGTCATATAAACAAGATGATACCGGGGGCAACAAACCTATGTGTAAACAAACGTATTCCGAGAGTAGATCCGGTCGTGGGGGAGGTAACTGTGAGCCACTTGTATTGAGGGATCAGCCAATGGCAAAGGTGACCTTGCAACGCCCCAGAAATACACGTCCCATCCCACAATGGGCTGCATGTTACTTCCTTCAAGTTGGACCGCAGTAAATAATAAGTCTTATATGGGTTACACCGGGTTTCTGAGAGCTGATCCTGTTTGATTCTCACACCTGAGGTTTTAATCCTGGGGACAGCAATTCCGGGGACAGCAATCTTAGAGACAGCAATCCTGGGGACAGCAATATAGGGGACAGCAATCCCGGGGACAGCAATCCTGGGGACAGCAATCCCGGGGACAGCAATCTAGGGGACAGCAATCCCGGTGACAGCAATCCTGGGGACAGCAATCCCGGGGACAGCAATCCCGGTGACAGCAATCCCGGTGACAGCAATCTAGGTGACAGCAATCCCGGTGACAGCAATCTAGGGGACAGCAATCTAGGGGACAGTAATCTAGAGGACAGCAATCCTGGAGACAGCAATCTAGGGGACAGCAATCTAGGGGACAGCAATCTAGGGGACAGCAATCTAGGGACAGCAATCTAGGGGACAGCAATCTAGGGGACAGCAATCTAGGGGACAGTAATCTAGAGGACAGCAATCTAGGGGACAGCAATCTAGGGGGCAGTAATCTAGGGGACAGCAATCTAGGTGACAGTAATCTAGGGGACAGCAATCTAGGGGAAAAGTAATCTAGGGGACATTAATCTAGGGGACAGCAATCTAGGGGACAGCAATCTAGGGGACAGTAATCTAGGGGACAGCAATCTAGGGGACAGAAATCTAGGGGACAGCAATCTAGAGGACAGCAATCTAGGTGACAGCAATCTAGGTGACAGTAATCTAGGTGACAGCAATCTAGGTGACAGTAATCTAGGTGACAACAATCTAGGTGACAGCAATCTAGGTGACAGTAATCTAGGTGACAGTAATCTAGGTGACAGCAATCTAGGTGACAGTAATCTAGGTGACAGTAATCTAGGTGACAGCAATCTAGGTGACAGCAATCTAGGTGACAGCAATCTAGGTGACAGCAATCTAGGTGACAGTAATCTAGGTGACAGTAATCTAGGTGACAGTAATCTAGGTGACAGCAATCTAGGGGACAGCAATCTAGGGGACAGTAATCTAGGTGACAGTAATCCCGGGGACAGCAATCTAGGTGACAGCAATCTAGGTGACAGTAATCTAGGGGACAGCAATCTAGGTGACAGCAATCTAGGTGACAGCAATCTAGGGGACAGCAATCTAGGTGACAGCAATCTAGGTGACAGCAATCTAGGTGACAGCAATCTAGGTGACAGTAATCTAGGTGACAGTAATCCCGGGGACAGCAATCTAGGTGACAGCAATCTAGGTGACAGTAATCTAGGTGACAGCAATCTAGGTGACAGCAATCTAGGGGACAGCAATCCCGGGGACAGCAATCTAGAGGACAGCAGTCCTGGAGACAGCAATCCTAAGGACAGCAATCCCGGGGACAGCAATCTAGGGGACAGCAATCCCCGGGACAGCAATCCTGGGATCAACAATCCCGGGGACAGAAATACTAGAGACAGCAATCCTGGAGACAGCATTCGTGGAGACAGCAATCCTGGATACAGCAATCTTGGGGACAGCAATCCTGGAGACCGCAATCCTGGGAACAGCAATTCTGAGAGAGCAATCTAGGGGACAGCAATCCAGGTGACAGCAATCTAGGTGACAGCAATCTAGGGGACAGCAATCTAGGTGACAGTAATATAGGTGACAGTAATCTAGGGGACAGCAATCTAGGGGACAGCAATCTAGGGGACAGCAATCTAGGTGACAGTAATCTAGGGGACAGCAATCCCGGGGACAGCAATCTAGGGGACAGCAATCTAGGGGACAGTAATCTAGGGGACAGCAATCTAGGGGACAGTAATCTAGGTGACAGCAATCTAGGGGACAGCAATCCCGGGGACAGCAATCTAGGGGACAGCAATCCCGGGGACAGCAATCTAGGGGACAGCAATCTAGGGGACAGCAATCTAGGGGACAGCAATCTAGGGGACAGTAATCTAGGGGACAGCAATCTAGGGGACAGTAATCTAGGTGACAGCAATCTAGGTGACAGCAATCTAGGTGACAGCAATCTAGGTGACAGTAATCTAGGGGACAGCAATCTAGGTGACAGTAATCTAGGTGACAGCAATCTAGGTGACAGCAATCTAGGTGACAGTAATTTAGGTGACAGTAATCCCGGGGACAGCAATCTAGGTGACAGCAATCTAGGTGAAAGTAATCTAGGTGACAGCAATCTAGGTGACAGTAATCTAGGTGACAGTAATCCCGGGGACAGCAATCTAGGTGACAGCAATCTAGGTGACAGCAATCTAGGTGACAGTAATCTAGGTGACAGTAATCTAGGTGACAGTAATCTAGGTGACAGTAATCTAGGTGACAGTAATCCCGGGGACAGCAATCTAGGTGACAGCAATCTAGGTGACAGTAATCTAGGGGACAGCAATCTAGGTGACAGCAATCTAGGTGACAGCAATCTAGGGGACAGCAATCTAGGTGACAGCAATCTAGGTGACAGCAATCTAGGTGACAGCAATCTAGGTGACAGTAATCTAGGTGACAGTTATCCCGGGGACAGCAATCTAGGTGACAGCAATCTAGGTGACAGCAATCTAGGTGACAGTAATCTAGGTGACAGCAATCTAGGTGACAGCAATCTAGGTGACAGTAATCTAGGGGACAGCAATCCCGGGGACAGCAATCTAGAGGACAGCAGTCCTGGAGACAGCAATCCTAAGGACAGCAATCCCGGGGACAGCAATCTAGGGGACAGCAATCCCCGGGACAGCAATCCTGGGATCAACAATCCCGGGGACAGAAATACTAGAGACAGCAATCCTGGAGACAGCATTCGTGGAGACAGCAATCCTGGATACAGCAATCTTGGGGACAGCAATCCTGGAGACCGCAATCCTGGGAACAGCAATTCTGAGACAGCAATCTTGGAAACAGCAATCCTAGAGACAGCAATCCCTAGTGACCGCCATCCAACGCCTCGTTTCCTCCATGGACAGTATTTATCACATCTGAGAACATCCTAGTAACTTGGCTTTGAAAAAATTCCGGGGAGGAAATCAAACCTGACTCATCTAGTCTGAACTGGCTTGTGTGGGTTGCACTGATGCATGCTGGGACCACAGACACACGTCTAGCGGCTGGTGTGAGTTGCACTGATGCATGCTGGGACCACAGACACACGTCTAGCGGCTGGTGTGGGTTGCACTGATGCATGCTGGGACCACAGACACGCGTCTAGCGGCTGGTGTGGGTTGCACTGATGCATGCTGGGACCACAGACACGCGTCTAACGGCTGGTGTGGGTTGCACTGATGCATGCTGGGACCACAGACACACGTCTAGCGGCTGGTGTGGGTTGCACTGATGCATGCTGGGACCACAGACACACGTCTAACGGCTGGTGTGAGTTGCACTGATGCATGCTGGGACCACAGACACGCGTCTAACGGCTGGTGTGGGTTGCACTGATGCATGCTGGGACCACAGACACGCTCTAACGGCTGGTGTGGGTTGCACTGATGCATGCTGGGACCACAGACACGCTCTAACGGCTGGTGTGGGTTGCACTGAGACATACCGGGACCACAGACACGTCTAACGGCTGGTGTGGGTTGCACTGATGCATGCTGGGACCACAGACACGTCTAACGGCTGGTATGGGTTGCACTGATGCATGCCGGGACCACAGACACGCGTCTAACGGCTGGTGTGGGTTGCACTGATGCATGCTGGGACCACAGACACGCTCTAACGGCTGGTGTGGGTTGCACTGATGCATGCTGGGACCACAGACACGCTCTAACGGCTGGTGTGGGTTGCACTGAGACATACCGGGACCACAGACACGTCTAACGGCTGGTGTGGGTTGCACTGATGCATGCTGGGACCACAGACACGTCTAACGGCTGGTATGGGTTGCACTGATGCATGCCGGGACCACAGACACGTCTAACGGCTGGTATGGGCTGCACTGATGCATGCCGGGACCACAGAGACGCTCTAACGACTGGTGTGGGTTGCACTGATGCATGCCGGGACCACAGACACGCTCTAACGGCTGGTGTGGGTTGCACTGATGCATGCTGGGACCACAGACACGCTCTAACGGCTGGTGTGGGTTGCACTGATGCATGCTGGGACCACAGACACGCTCTAACGGCTGGTGTGGGTTGCACTGATACATGCCGGGACCACAGACACACGTCTAACGGCTGGTGGCAATCTTCAGTCCCACTCTTGCATGTCCCGATGAACCTGGAGACGGGAAAAAGAGTTGTGCCCAAGATGGAGATGCTTCTCTGGTAGTGGCTGCATGGGATGGGGGTTGTGTTTCCACTGCTTCACCCCCAAAGAAGAAGAAGAAGACAGCACTTATGACCTACTATTGTAGGAGACGTCTTTGAATGACAGTAAAGGTTGGCCCACAATAATGCCGCCCCCCCCCCCCCCCCCCCCCTTTTTCCTTTGCCCGGCGTGGTTGTATTTCACTGTTTCCCCCATTAGCACGCGTACACACCGTTGCACATACAGGAAAACTCTTATAAGTAAATTTGGCTGAGGCAGGTATACATGGGTTGCTTTTTGTTCCTTAGAAACACAGGTAAACAGGTACAATAACTCACCCAGGTAACTGCACACCTGTCGTGTGTGCCTTACTCTCTGGTTTCCGTGGTTTCTGAAGGATAAATTAATATTATTTTTAAATATAGGGAGCAAGAACCACTGAACGACACACTGACGGACGGACACACTGACAGACGATCGGACTGATCAACTGACGGTTAGTGGTATTGATGTGTAGGCACAAAGGAAGAGAAGATAGAAGTAAAAAGACAGGCATATGGAGGACAGACAGACAGACAGACAGACGGACGGGTGGATGGACAGACTGACAGGCGGACGGACGAACAGACAAACAGACAGACATTTTTTCAAGAGCTTGACAAGGCTTCGCCGTTTGCTTTCACGGATAAGAGGTAGAAGAAGAAGAAGAAGAAGAAGAAGAAGAAGAAGAAGAAGAAGAAGAAGAAAAGAGAAGAAGAAAGAAGAAGAAGAAAAAAGAGAGAAGAAAGAAAAGAAGAAGAAGAAGAAGAAGAAGAAGAAGAAGAAAAGAAGAAGGAAGAAGAGAAGAGAAGAAGAAGAAGAAGAAGAAGAAGAAGAAGAAGAAGAAGAAGAAGAGAAGAAGAAGAAGAAAAGAAGAAGAAGGAGAAGAAGAAGAGGAAGAAGAAGAGAAGAAGAGAAGGAAGAAGAAGAATCTCGAAGAAGAAGAAGAAGAAGAAGAAGAAGAAAGAAGAAAGAAGAAGAAGAAGAAGAAGAAGAAGGAAGAAGAAGAAGAAGAAAGAAGAAGAGAATAAGGAAGAAGAAGAAGAAGAAGAAGAAGAAAAGAAAAGAAGAAGAAGAAGAAGAAGAAGAAGAAGAAGAAGAAGTAAGAAGAAGAAGAAGAAGAAGAAGAAGAAGAAGAAGAGAAGAAGAAGAGAAGAAGAAGGAAGAAGAAAGAAAGAAGAAGAAGAAGAAGAAGAAGAAGAAGAATAAGAAGAAGAAGAAGAATAGAAGAAGAAGAAGAAGAAGAAGAAAGAAGAATGAAGAAGAAGAAGAAGAAAGAAAAGAAGAAGAAGAAGAAGAAGAGAAGAAGAAAGAAGAAGAAGAAGAAGAAGAAAGAAGAAGAAGAAGAATAAGAAGAAGAAGAAGAAGAAGAAGAAGAAGAAGAAGAAGAAAGAAGAAGAAGATGAAGAAGAAGAAGAGAGAAGAAGAAGAGAAGAAGAAGAAGAAAGAAGAAGAAGAAGAAGAAAAGAAGAAGAAGAAGAAGAAGAAGAAAGAAGAAGAAGAAAGAAGAAGAAGAAGAAGAAAGAAGAAGAAGAAGGAAGAAGAAGAAGAAGAAGAAGAAAAGAAGAAGAAGAAGAAGAGAAGAAGAAGAGAAGAAGAAGAAGAAGAAAAAGAAGAAGAAGAAGAAGAAGAAGAGGAAGAAGAAGAAAGAAGAAGAAGAAGAAGAACGAAGAAGAAGAAGAAGAAGAAGAAGAAGAAGAAGAAGAAGAAGAAGAAAGAAGGAAGAAGAAGAAGAAGAAGAAGAAGAAGAAGAAGAAGAAGAGAAGAAGAAGGAAGAAGAAGAAGAAGAAGAAAGAAGAAGAAGAAGAAGAAGAAGAAGAAGAAGAAGAAGAAGAAGAAAGAAGAAGAAGAAGAAAGAAGAAGAAAGAAGAAGAAGAAGAAGAAGAAGAAGAAGAAGAAGAAGAAAGAAGAAGAAGAAGAAGAAGAAGGAAGAAGAAGAAGGAAGAAGAAGAAGAAGAAGAAGAAGAAGAAGAAGAAGAAGAAGAAGAAAGAAGAAGAAGAAGAAGACGAAGAAGAAGAAGAAGAAGAAGAAGAAGAAGTAAGAGAAGAAGAAGAAGAAGAAGAAGAAGTAAGAAGAAGAAGAAGAAGAAGAAGAAGAAGAAGAAGAAGAAGAAGAGAAGAAGAAGAAGAAGAAGAAGAAGAAGAAGAAAAGAAGAAGAAGAAGAAGAAGATACGAAGAAGAAGAAGAAGAAGAAGAAGAAGAAGGAAGAAGAAGAGAAGAAGAAGAAGGAAGAAGAAGAAAGAAGAAAAGAAGAAGAAGAGAAGAAGAAGAAGAAAAGAAAGAA